TAATTACATTGAACCTTATGGGAAAATTTGATTTGGGTCGCGACCAATTTGGGTCGCGACCCAAAGTCACGGAACGAATTAAGTTCGTGAACCGAGGTACCACTGTAGTTGGGAATCAGTTACATTTTGATTCTGACCAATGCAGATCTCTGTACAATTCAAATGCTTGCATATCCTGACAGAATTAAGGTAAAGGTTTAACTTCTTGCTATTTCCTTTGTAATTCTCTGAAAAGTTATATACAATAGACTTCATAGGCTTAAAATTGCTAGCTTGTCTAGCTTCCACTTGACAGGGCACCTACCTGAATCACAAACAGTTGCAATGTCCCCTGTTGTTTCACTAGCAGACACTGCCGTAACAGGACTTTTGTGCCCAGCAAGACTTTGCACATAGCAGAGCCTGTAACAATGAGTTGATTGTTCAAAGAATCAGCTCTCATAGTAGTAATAGCAGCAGTACCTTTTTAAACTAATACTTTAAGCCCTTATTTCCAAGACTAATTTTGAATATCTTATTACTTAACTTTTATGTAGCATCAACGTACAGGTGGGGCAAAATACACAGGTTAAGCAATCTTATGGTTAATTTTATAAAATGGAGCAAATCCATCTTCATTATAATTCAGAAACTGGGGACATCTGATATAATAAGGAGAGTGATTTAAAGATGCTTCTACCTGTTCAAATCCCATATGATACAGGTTCCATCTTTGCTCACACTTATCATGATACTATAGGGTTTGCAGACTAGCAAGCTGGTGATCTCTGCTGTGTGCCCGTACAGATGCATCTGAGACTCCATGTCAATTTCAGAGGGCTAAAAAGGAAGAGACAACCACAAATTTACCGGTGTATTACAAGTCAGATTTGAGACGAGATTTGAAGGTACATCTGTTTCAATCATTATTGTACTGATTCAACATGTACCACTTTATGATTTCTGTCCTATATAACTGTTTTTTTCCCTATTTCAGCTACAAAAACAGCCAAAGCTGTTTAGGGCTCAAGTCAAGCTCTTCTTTAAAACTGAGTGTTTGATTGACAAACAATTGGTACTATGGTATTAGCTGTGAAAAGTAGCTTTTTTAGATCTCTCACATAGTTATTAGCACAGAGGAAAACTCTATACAGCTGCTTATTTTACAGCACACATTGTTGCTTGAGTAATTCATGAACGGATATATCCAATATATTTCTACAGTAGAAACCAAATGGTGTGCAAAATCAGAAACCTTTATCCCAGGCAGTTTTTTTGTTTTTGTTTTTTTGCTTTTTCCTCTCTTAAACATGAGAGAGCTAATTTGTCAGGCCTAGCCCAAGGAACTCCTGA